GGCGCAGGGTCTGAAGTCCCCAAGCTACCTGACGGTATTATTTGTTCAGATATTAATAGAAATATAAATTTCTTAAAATAATTCAATTTATCATAAATATGGATATATTTTTTTCGCCAACCTGAATGGGTCGCTTCCGAAATTGATGCTTGGAAGTCTGCCTGCAAGGTTTCCGAAAACATTTGCAAAGAAGCACATAGCCGGCAATGCCTTTTTTTTTCAGATTGCACGCTTGACGTGAGAGAAATTGAGCGCAAGGAAGCTTCCTCATGCTTCTGAAAGCAGCTGTGACTGCAGTGGCAAGAGCTGAAATCCATCCACAGCTTGGCTCTCCTTCTTCAGTCCACCTAATGGCCTAATGAGGGCAGAGGCAGGCAGGACAGCAACAGTCAGCGATGCACCTCACGACCTCTTCCAAGATATGATTTCTTCTCCCGACTCAGAAATAGCCGCCCAAATCAGTTCTAGTTGGGGAATTGATTAATACATAGGGGCTAATGTTAAGTATTAAGTATTAAGTCCATTGATTGACATCGTCGGCTTCAATAAGTTACAATTTGAGGTTCTGCTGAGGCTGCCGCAGAACCACAGGAGATTCAACCTCTGGATGCTAGCATGTCCCGAGCCTGGATAATTGTTGTTATAGGGGATTGTATTTAGTATATGGGAGAACTAAGTTTGCTATCCTTAGCTGTAATGCTGTTGCATCAAAGAAGCGTCGCTGAGACCACAGCTATGTTGATCTGACTTGGTGAGCAACATGCTGCCCTATGCTGAGTGCCCAATTCAATCCGACTACTAAAGCCAAGACGGACGACGAGACTAGAATTTGCATGTGAGACGTGGAGCCGTTTCAAATGTCTGCGGGGGTGTGTGAATTGTAGGTTAGCATAACATTTGAGAACACCTGGGTGAGCTGACGTGGTGTCCGGCTGGTCTCTGTTCGAGTCCCACAGCTCTTGGCGTGGGCCTATGGAATGTCATGCCTCTGGCATGGCTCGAACCAGCGGAAAGGATTGTGAAGAGAGCAACCTAGTGATTTAAGTCAAACATGTTGTGTCAGGAGGCTTTCCAGAAGCAACAGCAACAACAACAACAACAACAACCACGACGACGACGACGACGACGATGACGACGACGACGATGACAACAACGATAGCAATGAACAAGAAGAGGATTGTAATGATGAGCACGGCTTCGAAATGCTCGATTCGATACTGCAACCCTCTACAGCTGCAAACAAACGCGTGGCAATACCCCGGTATCGACGGCTGCCCCGGCGTTCACTTCTGTCGTGAAGGCCACACGGACCGGACTACGGGCACACAACCTCGTAAGCTCATGAAGTGTAAAGCTTCACGTCTCAGCTCTGCTTTCTGGGGCTAAAGATTGTTGAGTCCGGCCTCCATGAAAAACTTTACTCGCAATAGCAACAGGAGCTCACGTTCTTAAGTCACATGAGTGATGTCTGTGAGGTTACCGAGACCGGCTTTCAGCTCGGTGGCCTCACATCGCTTTGCGGCTCCTGTCGCAGCAAAATGGGGCACTGCAGCGCTGCATAGGGCTTAGGGATCACCCTGAAGCCTTCGCCTCGCGGGTTCTCTCGGAATCAAGTTTCAAACTCACTGCCATGTAGCCATCCAGGAGTAGCACCATTGCATCCCTGATCAGAGGCGCGAGCCCTCATGCAGAGCAAAACGGGCTCCGCTGAGAAGCACAGCAGGTCGGAACGCTTTTGTTGAAAAAGCCCATCTAAGGTCAACGTGAATGGCCCAGGCAGCTCACACGCAGACCGCGCCTACTCAGTGCAAATGCAAGACAAATCAAATATCCAAATAGAAGCATCAAAGAGGCTACTGGATTTAGAAATATGGGGACCCTCAACTTTGTCTTACGCTGGCAACAGGCGTGGTGCTCACCAAGGACACTCGACGCTCACAGCCAAAGCTGCGATGCCTTCTGTAGCTCGCTGGGGCGCAAAATCTGAGCAGCACCGGTGCTGCTAAAGTGCAGGGGGACAAACCACCAAGCCATCATGCAGCCTCTCAAACCCAAACGCCCAGATCTTAATTCCCCAGAGCATCAGAGACTGCACCTTCAACATCGCTGCTTCCAACCCAATGGCTGCATGACTTTGGTCCCGGTGACTGGGCCCCCTGCGCAATCTTGGGACTGCAGGGAAGCAGCCACTAGCTGGCAGGTCTGGGTCTGGGTTGGGTAAAGTGAAAGTGGTAATGTACGGGAACTTCAATGGCCGCTTCCGCCGTCAAGCTCCCTGTGAAAAAAACTACCGAGCAGTAACCTTTTCAGAGTTTGCAGAGGAGCTTACCACGACGCAAGTGCGGCATGGTTGAGAGGACCGCAACCAAGTCCTCATCCTCAGAACACGACAGCTGTGCCTCTATCAGGTCAAGACTTCCTACCCGAGCTGCATCCAATGGAAATCCGGATCCTCAACATGATCTAGGCCCCAGCTCAGATGGATCGGATCCAAGGCCGCAGCCCTCGGCAGCATCTACTCCCGCCAAGCCGTCATCATCTCCTTCAGCGCTGGCTTCTGTGCAAGTCAGCGGGGAGCTTGGTGGTTGCATGTCTGGCTAACATCTCAATGCTGCGGCTGCAGCTATCACTACCCTTGTTCCGCAATACGGGTGCCATCATCCAACTTGCAATTCTGCACATTTAGCCTTTCAACTTGAAGTGTTGATCTCCTACTTGAGCTTGTCCTTCAGAACCTTCACCATCGTCTCCCTGACCGCCTGCTTGACAGGATTTGCTGTTGCTGAGTATCGTCACCCTTCTGACCCTAACATCCCAATAGCAATCTCTTGCACCTGGTAGAAATAAAGATCCCAAAGAGACTGACCGTGAATTGCACACCCATTTTCTTCAGCACCTTCTGGACCACGACGAATACGAGGCACTCGGATTCGCTTTGTCGGTGCTGGGAAAGGGACCTGAGGAGACAATGGAGTTGATGGAGCTGGGAAGTTCAGTATGCTTGAAACCTCTTACTGCGCCAAGATCTGTCGCAGGACTGCTCACAAAAAGCTGGTGCTGCTACTGCCGCCACCACCTGTGTCTTTTAATGCTCAGATCACGACACGTCTGCCCTGAGAGTACCTGAGATTGCAACTCTCCACCCGTTCTGGCGACGACTGTTGGTGTACTCAGGGAATAAACCCGACTGCCAACAGCCATGCGGCCCTTGGCATGGAATCAGTAGACCAGGACTATCTCAGCTTGCACGGTGAAATCCAACTTCAAGTCTTTGATGTGCCAGGCTCAAGTCGATGGGCTGAAGCAATTCAATTTTTGATGGTCTTAGTCACTATGTCTTCGAAACGTGATTGGCGCAGTGCAAGGAGAAGTGCAACAAAGGCATCAATGATGACCCTAGCAAGGAAAGCCTGAGAGCGGGCGTGATGATGGCATGTACGGTTTTTATTTAAGGTCTGGGCAACTGGTCAATGGAAAATTGGTGAGCGCGTTGTCGTTTTCCAATGTTCGGGGTATATGTTGTCGTTTGTTTTTGGTGAGTGTGTTATCGTTTTCCAATCAAAAACCCTGCCTCCCATTCCAATGTCCATCCTTTACATATCTCCTATGACCGATAACGCATCATGCCAACATTGTGCATGAAGCTATGATGCACTATCGCCCAGCAGGAAAGCCGGCGGTCCTTTGAAACAATACTATCCCAGACCACATAGTCACATGTCTTCGCAAGAACCGCAACACCTTCAGAGCCAGAAGGACAACAGAAAGTACAGTCAGTCAGTCGGTCAGTCAGTCAGTCAGTCATACGCCAGGCGGTGCGTGGACAGAAAAGAAACGGCAAACCGTGTCACGCCAAACTCGGGGATTCTGTACAAGTCTGACTAGCTCACGGTGACCGTTCACATTTTGAAAGGCTTTCAAAAGCTGAGCGGCAGCGCGCTAAGCAATGGCAATCTTTTTACCTTCGAACAAGGGCGCCCTGGTTAGAGCCGCAGTGCCGCAGCAGTCAAGAAGTCAGGCTTCCAAGCTACATGTAAGCTGACGGAATTTCACCCGTCCTCGGCTTTCACCAGGGCCGCTTTGCGGGAGTGGCGACCAGCCCGGATCAGAAGCTTCTTTTCCTTCGCCTGTGCCGAAGGTTCGAGCTGCCACACACCTTCGGTGAGGGCATGAATCAGAGGCTGGCGATCACATCCCTCCTTGGTCAAAACGTCTGCAAGCATGCGTGATGTGTCAACCCAGCGGGCGAAGACGTCAGAGTCGTCCGAGTAGTCGTTCTCTCCGAGCATCTCCTTGATCTGGGCAACAAGAACACGAACACGCTTGTCGGATGGCATGCCGGTGTCTTTGTTAAGCGTCTGCTCCAGGCTGCGGGCATCGGTGAAGGCGATGATCTTCTTCTTCAAGTAATGCTGGTCAAGGTCCCGAAGAGGAATGTCAGGATGAACAAGCTCCATGAGAGTCATCCTCAGGTACGCAGCAGCTTCAGCCCCAGCGAGAAAACCGTTTGCCTTGGCAGCCAGGGTGCTTCTGCAAACACGCTTGATGCTTCCAGAATAGGTCTCGAGCACCATGAGTTCGGTGGGACCGCCATCGCAGATGCTCTCTGAGGTGAGTCCAACTAGGAACCCACACTGGGATTTCACCCCGTCCACGTTGCCAAAACTGGAGTCAGCGAACACGTACACGACTGCATTCTCGAGGGTGAGGTCGCTCTTACGGAATCTCAACTTCACATCAGACGAACTCTTCAGGAGCTTCACAGACTTGTTAAGGGCAACGATGTCCTTGACACAGGGGGACCCCATAGACTGAGCAGCGAGGCTGACACCAACCATGATGTCTGGACGGCTTTGCCTAGCGATCCAACCAAGCTGGCCGATCAGGCCCCGAAAGGCCGTCTTCTCCATGTCCGAAAGCGGACTGTTTGGGGCTTTACGACGTTCAGTCGGCAGGATCAGGTAGTCCACGCCTTCGATCGCATCCATCTGGTCTATCATGATCTCCCCATCCTTCTGGACAATGTTCTTTCCACAAAAGCGGAAGTTCTCCTTCTTGATGGTCAGGTGCAGCTCGCTCTCCATGACCTTTATCGTGTTCTCATACGCCTCGCCATACCCAGTGCTCAGAAGATCGTCAACATGGGTTATGACAACGCCCAGGAGGTCAGAGCCGTCAGCGAGGAGGAACAAGGCCGGCTCGATGCGACTCATCCGCCATCCGTTGTCACGGAGGGTCTTGTAGAGTTTCTTCCACCAAGCACGCCCGGCATCTTTGGCGCCGTAAATTGACCCCTTCGCTCTGAGAAGGTCGTTCGGCCCAACTCCAGGAGGCGGCGGTCGAGGAGGTCGAAGTACGAGAAGTCGGCTATGTTCTGGGACTGCAAGTAGGCTGTTGAAGCGTCAGCGGCAAGGACGGTCCAACCTTTCAGAACAGCAACTGCACACCAAGTTGAAAGAGAGGAGCGAGGCTGTTGGTGAGTCGGTACGAAGATCCGCCGAGTCTTCCTGGCAACCTTGCACAACGAGTCTGGACTTGGCCGCAAGGGGATACTCCTTCTTCACCTGCTCAGGTGTTTTCCCTGTCCTCCGGCAGAGATGGAGAGCAAGAAGCCGTTGCTTTTGGTGTTTGTCGGTATGCACCCACCTTGTCCCAATGATGCGAACATCGCCGGGCAGAGCCAACACCTGAGCTGAAGTGAGGATATCAACGGCATTGAATTTCATCCATGAAGTCCACTCCTTCTCCATTGACTGGACGAACTTGATGCGGTCTTCAGGGGAGAGGTCCTTCAAGCGGATCTCAGAGCGCACAGCCTTGCCGGTGAGGAACACGTCGGCAGGGCAAAGGTAAGCAAAGTCGCTCTGGTCGTCATCGTCATCGCCAGTGTCCAGCTCGTACTCTTCAATGCCATCCACCATCCTTCAAAGCCTGTTCGTATGGACAGTGTCCACCAGGTCTGGCATTTCCCACACGAAATCCTCGGCAAGGTACGGAGTCTCGGTCCTCGGGCGAGAAGGTCTGACTGGCGCGTATCCGTCTAAACGATCCGGATCTCTCAGCAAGTTCTGCGCAGGACTGGTTTGAGAAGCTGCGAGTGGAGTTGGTTGTGGCTCGAGTTCAGCTGACATAGAAGAGGTCTGTCGCGGCAAAGGCAATGGCATAGGTGCCGGTACGCCCGTCCTTGGATCCTGAGGTGGTAATTCCTGATGAACTTCTGCTCCAGCATTCGGCATGTCTGCACTGCCGCCCGTCCTTGGATCCTGAGGTGGTAATTCCTGAGGAACTTCTGGTCCAGCTGCCTGCCCGACAGTGTCAAGCAGACCTTCGTTGTCATCCTCCAGCACAGGAGATAGAAGCTGGGGTTGCACAGCAACGTCAGTTCCAGTTGTGGCTCCTCAGGAGGTAGTACATGTGGTTGAGGAGGCCCGTCTATCGGTTGAGCTCGCAAGTCCACGAAACCACGAGCACCACGAGCGTAAGGAGGAGCAAGGATCTCCTGAAAAAACCGCGTGTGCCGCCAGGAGAACTCATCCTCGGAAGCAAAGCGTAGTTGCTCACCAGTCACAAGGACCACGGTGGTGCCGTACCTGAGCCAGAGTGAGGTTGGCCGCCATCAGTCGCAATATCTGGATCATGTAGCCGCCGTTGGTTACGGATCTCAACTCCAATGACTCTTGCTGGGCCATGCCACCGGAACAGGCGGGATGTCCCAGGCTGTGTCTGGGCCCGGTAGAAGTAAACATAGCTGCCAACTGGGTAAGGTCCACGTGTCGGCGTGCTCTGGCGCAACAAAGCGCGTCTGACCCTGCCATCGGTGTCCAAGCGGATCTGGGCTACGCGGGCTGACTCTCGAATGCCTAAGTTCTTGGCCATGGCTGACGTAGGATCCTCGGCAGCCTCCAGGACCTCAAGTCGCTCGGCTTCTGAGTCCAACAGCAAACTGCCAGGTAGTCGAACTTCAGGTTTGCCAAGTACCCACTGATTCGGCGAGTAGCCAGAGTTCCGAGGAAAGGCATTGCGAGTCTGCGTCACGATGGAGCAGCCAATGATCATGTCTTGGATGCCGTTGAGCTGCATGTCGTGGACGACCTTGGCGAAGATGTCCTTCCATAGACCCCCAGCCTCCCCGACCGTCCCATTTTTCCAGGGGGCTTCCAGCGGCATTGCTTCTTGTTCCACTCCGAAGTTCTTCAAGTAGTCGGCAAAGTGAGCCATGAACTCCTTTCCACGATCCACCTGTAGGCTTCCCGGAAGACCTGCCCAGCAAGACCAAGAAGTCAAGAAATGACGCAAGATGGCTTTCGTCGCGGGAGGTCCTTGCGCCGCGCCGAGGCAGGAGACAACCTGAAAGCCAGTTGCTTCACAGATCACGTTGAGGAAGGCGTAGAGCTGAGCACGAACGTCCTTGCGGTAGAAGACATCCACCTGTACATGGGCGTTGAACTCGTACTTGCCCGGAAGCCTCACTGGCTTGGGTCTCTTTCTCCGACGCGACTCACCGCAGGCATCGCAAGACAGAAAGTCAACACCACGGATGGCTTCAGGTCGGGCACCTTGTCGGCGAAGTGTGCGCTGGAGCGTGGCATCCGTAGGGCGTCCAAACTGCACATGTAGTTGTCGAAGACACTTGCGAAGGTTTGGTTCCAGGACCAGCCACTTCTTACGTCGGTCGCGCTCAGTGATGTTCAAGTTGGGTTCAAGCTGGTCCGCCATGATGGCACGGTGCGAGGCGTCATCTCCATCAGCAGAGACACGAAGATGGTGGCCCGGCGCGGGCTCGTCGATCAGCTCGGCAAGGGCGCGGTCCGTCTCGTCGTCCGGCATCACGGGCTCCACGTCGCCGGGGCGCAAATAGACAGGGGGAGCATCATACTCCTCGGTCAGAACAGAAGCCCGGCCTCGTCGTCGACGTTTAGTGCCTCGGTTGCCCTCCTCGAGCGCCGTGGGGAATGCCTCCTGGGTCTCCAGCACAACATTGTCCTCGATGGCGGCCTGCTGTAGGACGCAATCAAGCACCCGCTGATCCAACTCCTTTGGCCACTGAGCTGCCTGTACGGTCCGGGAGCCGTACTTGTTTGAGCCCTGTAAATGTTGGTGCTCGTGTGTCCTAGGACACCTGCAGGAGGAGAAAATGGATTCTGCAGTCAGGAGCGAAGTCACGAACATCATGGGTTTACAGTGAGGCAAACCCGATTCTTGGTCAAAATAACCAAGTTGGCACCCATCGGCATAGATGACCACCAGCTCGCCTGAGTCAAGAAGCTCGCGGACGCCAGAGAGCTCGGGTTCGTCCAACCATTGGCTGCCACGGGGCTGCTCGATGAAGACATGTATGTCTCTTGTGCTTGACTCGTTGAACCACAGTGTCGTTGACGAACCTCAGGATCTTTCTCCCTTGCTCCCTGGCCTCTCCGACAGTAAGGGCTGCCTTGCCGCCGCGCTGAAGGTTGAACCTGCTCCAGTTCCCCCAAGGGCCGCACGGCTGCGTCAAAACCAGAATGTAAGGGTCTTCAGTCTTGAGGTCGTTGTGAAGGAGGCGGCGGCCGGCACTTGTAGAGGCATCCCATTGGTTGGTACGAACATCAAGAGGAACGCCAATTGCCTTGCCCGTCAGCACAGCCATCATGCTCAAACCCATAGCTCCTGCGAAGAGCTGTTTCAGCCACACTTTTCCATAAGGAGGTCGATGATGCACAGGCAACTTTCCAGAAAGAACTCGCCGGAAGGTGAAGTCATCGCCGTCCATGGCCGCGGAGAGGGAGCCCAGCTTCTTTGCCTTGCGGTTCGTGACCTTTCGAAGCAGCGAGGGGTTCTTGGAGACCAAGTCTTCAAAGAACATCATGTCCTCATTGACATCCTCATCCAGGTGACCTCCCGTTTCCCGGTCGGTCCGCCAAGTGTCGACTTCATCTCGCAGGATTTCAAGGTGGTCGAGGTGGTCGGCATAGTCATCCGGATGCCAACCTTCAGGAACGTCCGGGTAGTCCTCGGAGTAGGCACGCATGATCTCGTCGTACTCGGAAGGAGTCAGGGATCTCGGTGTTCCGCCGTGATCATTGCCCCCTTCGGCCTGAGAAGCTGGTGGTGCATCGGGTTCGCCATCATCAGCTTGTGGCGCAGGAGGTGCGCCTTGATCCGGGATCAGGGTCCAGGCTTGCTCATCGTCTTCAGGCGTGAAGGCAGAAAGGTCGGCGATGTCGAAGTCGAGGATGTTCACTGCCAAGTGCCCGCGGCTGGTCTTGACCAAATCCAAATCCTTGACGCCGAGGGCAGTGAAGCTTACCTTGCCGCGCCCTATGTCGATCACGGTGCCAAGTTCCTTCATGAAGGGGCGCGACAGAAGCAGAGGCAGGGAACCCGGAGCCTCGCATGAACACATTTCGCCATGGATCTGTGAAAGGCCGATCGGGTAGATCTTGACCACGTTGCTCACGATCTGGCCGCCGACGCCCTTGAAGACTTGCTTCTTCTTCTGCGTCGTAAAGGCGAGGCCAAGCTTCCCAAGTTCAGCCTCGAAGCGCGTTGCCCAAACCGAGCCGTGCGTCGTCTTGGTGCAGCCAGAGTCGAGGATGGCCAAACCCGGGGGGTCGGCGTCGGACGTCACGGCGTCGTCTTCAAGCGTCTCTGTGTCCTCCGCCTGATCCTCGGCCTCGGTGACCATCATGACGTCACAATCGTGCTCCGCGACGACGTCCAGCCTCGAAGGGTCCATGGCCACAGGAATCCGGAGCTGCCTTGTCGTCACCATGTCCGACGGATGAAAGACCCGCTTGTTTTGCGGATCGCTTCCTGCACCGTGGAGGCGAACGAGGGAGTCTCTCACAAGCTTGAGCCTGCCGTACAGGAAGAAGGCGAACACGTAGATCTCGAGACGCATAGGATTGTTAATCTGGAGGGCAAAGGTCAGCACCTGGGCGCACCACCATGAACACTCGGCACTCGAAGCGACGTCCTCAAAGCTCCGCCCAGGAAACGGCGAAGTGTTGTCCAGCAGCTGCCCATCACTGGGAAGAGGTTGTAGGATGTCAGAGTCCTCGTCCGCCAAGGTCGGGAACGGCGGCAGCTCGAGAGAAGGCGCCAAGCAGACGCCGTAGATCCACACACGCTGTTCGAGCGGGTCACCTCGCACAATCCTGGCCACGTAGCCCGAGGAAGCTGAAGCGGAAGGTCCAGGTCGTGAAGCCGCAGGCTGCTCAGGAATCACAACCCAAGGCGCCGTCGAAGTCGGGGGCGCGGCACGTTGAGGGGGTCCAGCTTGAGGAGGTTCAAGGCGACGTCGCCTCTGGTCCTCCTCCAAGGCATCGCCACGGCACTTTGTTACGTGTTGAAAAAGTGCTCGTGACCTTGCTCGCGATCCCCACTTTGTACACAAAGCGACCTGAACCAAAAATCGCCAAAGCTGCAGTGGCTCTTTGCGTTGAGCGGAGATGACAGCACGATCGCATTCAGGTTCTTTGCAAATAACCTGGCGGGTGTATCCGTTGGCTGACCTGTGAAACCGTTTCTCGGTCCCACCCTTGTAAGTGGAGTGTTCGCACAGGTCGTCCACGCGAATGGTCATGAAGGAGTCGGCAACGTCAGTGCCCAGCTCGAAGCGATTCGAGAAGGCGCCGAAGGAGGAGCCGTCGAAGTTGCCCGTGGCATACGCAGTAGCGGTGTCGAGCTTGGCCGACTTGCCATCGGAGAAGTCCAAGGCCTCCTGCTGCACGAAGTAGGATGCCCAGGAAGACGCTGGCTTCTTCTTCGGGAAGGCTTTCTTCTTTGAAGCGCCTTTGCCTGGCTTTCGAGATTGTGAACACTCAGGATCACCACTCCAATGTCCACGCTGGCCGCACGCCGTACATGGGGTGACGGACTTCAGGAACTTGACGGCGCGGGCACGTTGGTCCAGGGTCATCTCACCTTTTGCAGAAAAGGGAATCCCAGGCGACTGCGCGGAACCCTTGCCTCCTTGTCCTGAAGCCTTCTGGTTCTTCTTTCGACGGTCGAGAATGGTGGCGAAGGCGTCGGCCAGGTCAGGGTCTTCGGAGAGGTCAAAATCCTGAATCATTGTCTCCAGGGCCTCGTCCTCGGAGTAAGCCTCGGCCTCGTAGGCGTCGTCGTCCAGGATCTGGTCCTCATCCTCGAGGTAGGCCTCTTCATCCTCAGCCTCGTCGTCGCCATCCGCCATCATGGAGTACGCCTTGCCCTTTCCCTTGCCCTTGCCCTTCTGGGAGAACAGCCTAGGCCGAAGCTTCGCAGAAGTAGGCACAGGAGGGGCAGAGCCACGTCCACAACCAAGGTAGTCTCGACGATGTACGGGCTTGCCTTGGCAGTTGGGATACTGAATCCTCAAAGCGTGGCTCACCTTCTTGAGGTCGTACTCGTTGCCTACCGAGCTCAGAACATTCAACTGCTCCCTGTGGTCCAAGCCGCCGAAGGTGAGGAGACACATGGCCCGCAAGCTCTCGGGAAGAGTGGCTCCCCCAACAATTCCTCAAGCCGACGAAATTCTTGCTCCCTTCTGATGATGTAGGCTTGCATGGACTCGCTTTGGACGCGCCAAACGCCCGGAGAGTAGAAAGCGTTGAAGAAGAGCTCGTTGGTTTTCACTGGCTTCTCTTGCTCGATGCTGTCGCGGAGGGTGTTCAGGAAGAGCTGGATACCTTTCATCGAGGGCTTTTGCTCCGAATCCTTAGTAATCAAGCTCGCATGCTCAAGCTTCCGCACAGCTTCGTAGGCGGGCCCAGACAGTCCTGCACGAAGATGGATCGGAGTGGCCATCTGGGAAGACTCGTTCCCTTCCCTGCCAAACCACAAGTCCCATGCCCTCTCGGCATATTCCTCATACAGTTCTGGCTCCCCCGCATACTGCGGAACGCCATAGCGATCCGACTCAAGTCTCGAGGTGGTAGAAGTCATCTCGAAGAATCACAAGGGAGCACCGGCGCAAAGGCGGGCGCGGAGAAAAATCTCGGCCAGGAGGTAGCTGGCCTAGAAGCGTAGGGCTCGAAGAACAGCGCGGTATGCGCTGTAGCGAAGTACCCTGGCTCACGGCAGGGCTCCGCTTACCATCAAAAGCTGAGCGGCAGCGCGCTAAGCAATGGCAATCTTTTTACCTTCGAACAAGGGCGCCCTGGTTAGAGCCGTAGTGCCGCAGCAGTCAAGAAGTCAGGCTTCCAAGCTACATGTAAGCTGACGGAATTTCAGGCTTTGTTCCTAACCTCGGTAACCCATTCACGTCTTGGCCTCCCTACCCTTCTAACGTACTGGCTGGTGGCTGCTTGCAAACTTCCGTGGATAAAGGACGAGCTGTGCATCAGATGGTCATACGGAAACCTCAGAGCTTTCCCAAACAGTATCAGCTGGCGTTGCAGAAGAATCTGTGTGGCGGCAACGCAGGAGGCCCGTTGTAAGACATGTGCATTCGAAATTCGCGAAATGAATGAAGGAGCGATGCCCAAAATTCTGCGCACACAGCGGTTTTGGAACCCATTCAAACAACGACGCTCAGCTGCTGAAAGGCATAGGCAACTTAAACTTTACATTCATTTTGACTCGATCAGAAAGTACAAGGGCAGCCGTATCGTCTTAAATGTGCACTGCTGACTGCTAGGCTGCCACACGAATCCTGTGGGTTCACGTACCCATGCGGCAGCATTTGCCAACTTTGCATGCCTCGAAACATTCTCTCACAAACCTAATTTGCTTCTAGACAAGGTGCACAGCCGGCTTGTATTCATCCGGGACAGACTCGTGCATCACAGGACCTGACAAATGTTGCTGCACCCATCTGGAGTGCGATAGTGCCGTTGGAATACCCCTGAACTGGTCAGCTTGTTTAGTAAGCGACCATGGTGTGAAGCAAAGCAGCTGCCTGACTTACGAGTTCAATGTCTTGCGAAAGCCACCAGCCACTGAGTGTTGCGAAAGCCACCAGCCACTTGCCTTCTTCGACCGAAATCCCATTCAACAGCTGTTCCAATCCAGCCCCTACCGAAAAATGACAGTAGCCCCGAACCCGAAAGGCATCCCACCCGCCACTTGCAGCTGAGCAGCTACTTCGATAGCGGTTGACATGCGCCATCAAACCCTGCAGAGCTGGTAAAGTTTTCTGGGTTCCTCTGACACCAAACAAAACAGTCCTCGGACGAGTTTCACACGAGCCTGCTTGTCCTCTACTCCCGCGGCCAACAACACTGCCACCGTATGTACAAGTGCAGGCTGCGGCTGCTACCGCCAGCGCTGCTGCTGGTGCTGGCATCGATGCCGATGCTATGCTCTGGGTGCGGCATTCGCACAACCAGGGGCATACAAAGGCCGACAGGTTCCACAAAAAGTCGAAACAGCCATTTCCTGGGAGGGTCAGTTTTCCCACAGTTTGAATTGTCGGTGCCAATACCTTCACAGCCACCAACACGCCCATCAGTTGCCGCTGCGGCTCCTCCTCCTACAACTACTGACGTACTCTAGCTCCCATTCCTCCCAAAAACAAAACAGCTTCTTGTTCTAGGAGTTAGTCTTCTCTGTCCACTTCGTCTTCCTCCTCATGCTTTACTTTCACTACTACTGCGTCGAAAGGGTAGCAAGACACAGCCCAGAAGCCTCATACAAGTTCTGTCACAGGTCAAGTATGCTCTAATTGCAAAAACTCTGTTATCGACTTTGCCTGGTGCATGTCGCTCCAGGATACTTCGCAGATCTTGTCCGTCTCGACGCCCCAATTGGTGAATCCTGGCAATTGCGGCAAATCAGACTTGACCGGGTGCTTGAGCGTATCAAGCTTTCACATCTATTGCGTTAGTCATTTCTAAGCCTCTAAGTTAGTTCTACGATGTATAACAATAGGCTTTTATTGGGCTGCTTCATGGATCTACACGTAGCCTGGCAGGTTTCGGTCCCAGTCACACCACACAAGCCATGCTCAGGCAGGTTGGGAATGCTTTGCTCTGAGATGCATGGCATGCCTTCAAAAGTGTCACGGGCTCGAAGAGCTTGAGCTTCATCCACAAAGTTGACGAAGGCATAGCCAAACATTGCCTGCGGGTGATCTGCACACAGGACACGAGTAAAGCACCAAAGGCTTGCGACGAGACCATAGCCCAGCACAGCCCGTTGCAATGCTTCTGTCGTGCAGAGGTCCCTTATTACCTGGAAGCTGTGCCTGACTGTATGCTACCACCAACACTGAACACTATCAAGTCCGTTTTTTTGCACGTTTCAATGTTGAATGCCGTTCAGCTTCAAAGCTGCGCTTGTGTTTAATCTGCACCTCGAGTGCAGGCTGTCACATTGTCAGGGCTGACCATGGAAATGGACAAAGAATGCCACCCCGTGGAATACAAAGAAACTCCCCGCCGCACTTGACAGCTAAACCTGCTGAAACAACAAAGTCGGCGGGCACAGAACTTCATGTTGCAAGGCTGAAGGCTGCTTGAGAAGCCAAGCCCAGACCGCCTGCGATCGGAAGTTGATCGGAATGTAGACGAAGTCGAAGCCTTTGCACGATCAAATTGGAGCTAGCAAGTTGAGCAGCAACACAGCTCCAAGCTGGGCCAAGGCTGCTGCAAGCATAGAACCCGTTCCTGTTCATCAACTCCACGAGCATGTCCCGGCTATACCTCCAGGATTCATCCCTGTCGCCTTGGACCTGACCTATCCTGACCTGCCATCGCTCGATTTACTCTCTATCGAAGGAAGGCACCCCAGTGGCAAGTTTCGCAGCATCACCGTGGTCTGGCGCTCCCTCTGCCTTGGAATCTTCAAATGGGTGAACGGAGATGCTGAGGTGCACGAGCGTTCAATCATGAACGTTACAACATATGACAGCACATGTCAGCCCCTGGGCCCGCACCCACGCTTGTTGTAGCTTGGCTTCTTGTCCTGGAAGATGAGCAGACTTGTCAAAGTGAACAGCAGGGTGTGTGACCCTCTCAAAATTACGTACAAAGCTTTCGCTGACCACTATCTAGCCAGAACCCTCAACCGGCGCAGTTCATCTAGACAAATGCAAACCTGATGCCATTCAAATCTGCAAATGCCCGCAACTGCCTGAGCCTGACCTCGCATGCGGTCTGGTCTCGACCTCAGACTTCTGGCATGTCTGGTGAAGTTAGGGCATTGGTTTTTATTCTCAAGCTTCAGATTGCGATTTTGGCTTTGCACGCAAACGTGAGTGAGTTGGCGAGGCAGGGTCGAAGAAATCAACCATGGTGGGATATCTACTCGATTGTTTCTTCTTGTTACTTCCTGATTTATTTGTACTTGATACCTCTTCCACAATGAGGCCCTCACAAGTTGTCTTACTGCTGAAATTTACAACCCGTGCCTTCGTAGCATGATTTCAGTTCTGGCACCATACAATTCTGCTTGGTGTGGGATGCGTGGGAGACCCAAACTCCACACCCACAACGTCCTACTCATCTTCAGACCAGAAGATGCCATAGCAATGTAACATGTTCCGACAATGTTCCTGGATGTTCCTGGAATGATCCAATTCCTTATTGCACGTTCAGCGTTTCTCGTCCACCAGCCCAACAAAACAAGTATCCTAAGCTTTGAGGCCCCGCACAATCACATACAATCACAACGCATAAATTCCAAGCCCCAGAATCCACAGTCCCAACACTACCCACATGTGCTGCGGCCCCAGCTTTGCCACCGCAGCCTGCGCTGGTGCCTGGAACTGCAGCAGCTGCTGCTGGCGGAGCTGCTGCTGCATCCTTTGTTGCAGGGGGGGGGTTCTGTAGAAATGCGTGCACGCCTAAGCCATGCAGAGAAGTGACTACTGCAATGGTTACTGTTGGAAGGCTGCGGTCCAAGCTTCACAGGATTGATAAAGACGCTTCAGCGGACTAGTAGAGGAAGCTTGTGAAATTCTCCGAGCGCCCCGCTGAAGCTGCTGCTGCTGTAGCTGAACGAGTCTCATCTGCCTCAGCCAGATGTGGGCACGGCTGCTGAGAAAGCACCGATGGCCGATAGCAAAGCTTCTGTAGTGGCTATTATGCCGGGTCACCACAAGCTTTTTATGCACGTTGTGTCTTCGGCGCGGCCAACACATGTGAGATAGCCACCCCCTCAATTTCTGCAAAAGACTGTCGTTTCTCGATTAACTTTGCATGCGTATCAGGCATGTGATGCCAGGAAACGGTGATTGCATACTGAGGGATGTCAAGACTGAACGCGAGAAGCCAATCAGTGAGCCAAGAGCTACAGCAAGCGCGTGGGACGGCATTGTCTGAAGCAAGAGTGCGGGGTTCGGCCAGTGTCGGGGCACCCTAAAATCCCTCCGTCACGCACACAGGATTTAAGGACCCAGCTCGAGTTGCTGGCGCTGCAGCATGTTCTGGGCAAAGCTCCGCATGACAAAACAGTGCTCTCCAAGTAGAGTGACAGTACCCGATACCGATACCCGTTGCTTCAAATAAATTTGCCCCCATCGCATCACATTGACCGTTGCAATGACCTCTGGCCATTGCAACTACTACCCGTATCAGTGTCCTGCACCCACATCTTGTGGACTATCATGGACGACCCGTGGACATCCAGGCCCTCTCCTCAGCCAGGAGGGTCTCCAGCTCCTGCACTCCTGCACCCGCGGCTGCAGCTGCATTTGGCCTCAAAATCGGCCAGCTTAAAACAAGGCTTCAATAACTTGCAGAATAGCTGCAGGGCAACAAGTGGCCTAATGATGGGGCTCGGCTTTCCTGTGGGGCGCAGGTTGAAGAGGCGGCACTCTGCATCCCGTGCAGCATCGTAACCATCAGCCCTGGAGCTTTTAGCCTCTAAGCCAGGAAGGCCTACTCCAAGCCCAAGACTTCATAGCAAACCCTTAAACGTCTGCAAGGCCTTTCTAGAACAGAACCTGGGCTCCCCTGCATTCCAGGGAGGACTGGCGCCCCAGTGCCACACGGAGCAGAAAGAAAGCCAGGCCTCAAGCAATCTACATCCTAATCTACATATTCTAAAATCCCCTACAAATTCCTACAAGCCTGAACCCTGATCAGGTTTGTTTCTCAGCCGTCCCTATTTCAAAACTCCTGTGCTTAGCACCGAGCAGCTCCTTTGCCAGTTCAAGGACCTTTTTTCTAATGCGGATGCTCAATTTCTTTCGAGATGTAAAGGAAGGTCCTAAGATACTTCCTTGGAACCATTCAGCTTTTGGCAGGGTCCTACGCTTAGATTATTTGGTGCCTACGCCATTTCTCGCGTCTGGATTTCCATCCATCCTCCGAGGTCTCAGCATAGATGTCGAGGGCAAGTTCGGCGGTACAAACCTTTGCTTTGGTCTATTTCAGCTCCAACACTGAGAACTAACCATCTCGGAGATTTCACAAGAGACCGGCAGCAAGGTTCCGTTTGAGGTTTTCAAATTGACACTGGGTGCGATAATCAGCTCAGAGGCAGCCACCCTTGACCAGAATGATTATCGTGAAAGCCAATCAGTCAAACAATATCTGCGCTGATGTGTGCAACACAGTCAACAAAGTCTGCAGGCATGCCCTCTTCCTGATGGACGACTATCATGATCGACAACGCAACAGCTGCATGACAAAAGAAATGCTAAAGCCGTGTTAAACTTGTCTTTGCTCGGCGTGTTTCTAGGCCTTTTGGCCAAACTGCATCTCCATCGCTCCCGTCGCACTAGCTGCAATCCTTCTTTAGCGGGCACCCTATGTATCATCCTGCTGCAATCCACTCCAGACTCAACGCTTGGCCAGCAGACCGCCTCAGCGAACTTTGAGAATTACCAAAGCGCAAGCGCCCTCTGAAGCCCCAGCATATACGGAGATGCTCCGGGCCCTGGCCAGCGCCCTCGCCTCATACTGCTCAGGCTGAGGGGCTCAGGCAACACTTTGGGTGTCATCCCATGTAGAGCTTTCGAGCATACGCACTGAATGTGTGGATAATGACCACAAGATTGCTGGATTGCAGCTACCCACTGAGACCCAGACTGGGATGGATCCAGAGGATGCTGCATTCCCGGGAATTGCGGCCTGGGCAACGGACAACTAAAGAGCAGTTGCTTCATGTACAGACTAGCTAACAGATGAGCTAACTGTTGATCAGTTCTCTGATTCACGAGTCAAATCTCCTGTTCTTGCTTCCCATGTGCTGCTGCTGGAGATTTGCACTCCCTTTCGAGAAGGCAAATCTCAATCCTGAAACTAATGCTAAAATCTCAGAACCAAACGCATTTTCTCACGAGACACGGCTGCCGATAAGAATTATGAGAAGCAAATACAAACTCTCATTTGAAAAAGTTTCTGCGAGTTATGCTGGCTCCTGACTTGGCAGGTTTTGAACTGGAGCCTGTTCCATGGGTCTAGGTTCTGTCCAACTCCTATTTCCATTGCGACGGGCTGTTTCTCTACCGCATGATCTATTTCACAAAAGCAATACCTTGGGATCCTGCTCCTCAGGCCGGGCAAAAAGCGGCGCGGACCTCGCTGAAGCGTCGCGGCGTGCGGCCTCGGCGGCCTGGCAAGTGATCGGGAATGAAAGGCTCTGTCAATACTGTGTCACCGATGTCAGCACTCAAGTCTGCCAGTAGCGGCGGGAGTTGCGATATTTGCACTAGTCGTCAGAACCATGAATCAGCTGTCCCAGTGGTGTTTGTTGCTGTGGCTGTGGCGGCGGACGGTCGGTGAAGACATGGACAAGCAGCTATATGCACCCCAGGCACCCCGATTCCTTCCAGAGCGGATGCATGCTTGACACATCCGCCAACAAGAGCGTGTGCTGTCGCCTGCGTGGCGAGGTTCAGAAGTGCACCACCTGCACTGCAACACCGTAGGCGAACAACCTTTTGCTGTGGCTCGGAAAATGTCAGCTGAGACCTTGCCTACAAACAGAATCCTTGTCGAGCTAGGCTACAGAGAATTACCACCTGTAGGATCAGTATGTGACTTAGGCGCTTCTGGTGTAGATGTACAACAGAAAAACAGCAGCAAGGATAGCAAGGAAACAGGCCTTGGGGAAAGCCACCTGTTACCGGCAGCTGCTGCTGGACGGGCTGTGCAGGCTGCCCAGCAAATTGAGGACCAGGGCCGGAAGGGCCCGCGTGCCCTAGGCCAGGGCCCGCTTGGCTCTGGGCGCCAATGCGCTGCCATGGCTGCGCCGGGAAGCCCGGTCCTGCCTTGGGATTCAAGCGATGCTCCATTTGAATCCACATCACTCCCGCACGCCCGTGCCGCACCTGGATGTTGATGGTCATCGGCGCCCTGCGAGTTGCAGCGCTGGTTATCCGTACTATAAGAAATTCTTCAAGAAAGCACTGGCCTTGATGCAGGGGACGTGGCTGACAACGGAGAGGCCTCTGACCTGGTAATACCCCCTTATCGCAAAGATTGGGTCATGAGTCATGCCGAATTCCCTGTCTTCATCTGCAATCTGCACAGGCAGCTCTGGCAGTAACAATCGATCCTGAGTTGAAACCAGGTCTGCATGCAACTTATGAGATGCATGCGCCAGTTGAGGACTTCAGGAGAACAAGCAACAGAGGGAGCATAAATTCCTGCCCACAGAATCCACATGTCCTCACACCCTGAGCCCACAGAACGTGCCGGTGCTGCGACTCCTCGCCCACCCTGAGTCAAACAAGGCTAGCAAAGGAGTGCGGGAGATAAGATTCCCGTTCTGCTGTTCCAGTTTGGAATCCAAGTGGCAGCAGCTGAAATCCAAACTTTCAGGGAATACTGCTTAGTGAGTGTCTTTCAAGGGGTTTCTGCTCAAGCTCCCATTCGGAAAGAATGGCTGAGACATTCGGCTAGGGCTTGCTACCACTGATACACATCTAGCCCTATGAGGTTTCGAGGTCGGTAGACTTGGGTTCCCTCAGATTATGGCTGGAGCTCAAAGAATGCTTTCAACGCAGGGTCGTGCCTCTGCACTCGAGCGGCGCTTCCCCCTGCCAGCGTAAAGTATCTGGACCGCAGGCACAAATACAAACAGGCAGCGAAGATCGGTCAGGGTGGGCCGTCCTCAAACCCTGACAGATGGGAGGGTTGACGCTGCCCTGACGAAACCTAGAAACCGCAGGACGTGGTTCAGCTGCAATGACAGCTGTCAGCATCCACAAGTGCAAGCCCAGCCATGCTTGACATCTTGGATCATGGTCCAGTGACAACTTTAGTTGTAACATGGCTGGAGACGCCTGCCACGGAGGCCTCGGCAGGAAGGCTCGGGATGCGGAGGGCTCTCAATAATTGAAATGTTGCTTGAAGCCAATCGGTCCAAACCAAGGCATAGGAAACTGAAAAGAGCCGGGAGATAATAGCTGAAGGGACTTGGGGCTACCTTTTGGGTGTTCTTGATGTATCACTTTTTTTTTGTCTCCTTGCTCTTTTGCAACTGTGGCGGTGCAAGTTCCGAGGTGTAGGGTTGCTTGCAACGATGACTTGGGCACGAGCGTCAAGACTTTCGTTTTTGCAAAGTTGAAAACGGACGACTTATACAGCCCGCGCCTGATATCGCAAACCCCTCGCCCTCAGGCTCGCACACCAGCTCCCTGCACGCTGGAAGCAGCGCAGGCATCCTGGAAGATCTTCGCCTCATGAATCCCAGACTCTGCACTAGAAGCAGAAAGGTGTCATGCAAAACCGGACATGCTGCTCAGCAGGCCGTCAAACTACACAGTAATGCCCATGCCTGAATGAAACAGCACGCCAGCATCAACATCGCTACGCTACAATTGAGTGGAGCCCTCATTCACTTAGTGGCTGCTGCTTGTCTGTGCACAAGGCTCCTGGCCGCATGAGCCAAAGTACTCGGCATACGGCCAATCCTGCCACCGTCCTGGCTAATGCAAACGACAACAAAAAATGCATTAATTACAAAGACAGCTTCACACGTCCTGCGGCGTTTTGGCTCTGCGAACCCTCTACTTCCCATGTATGAATGGAAGCGTTTAGCAACAGTCTCCACCTCAAACGCTGATCTCTGTCTCCTTTTGCCCAAATCCAATCCAAAAACAAGGATCCTCCTCACCGTAGTCGGTGACCAAGCTGCTGTGCTTCGCAAACGGCTCCTGCTGCAGGGCAGAAGCAGAAGCAGAACAGCTAGAAAGATCACGTCAGCATGCAAAGTCACCATATCTGGCTTAGGCCTGCTATCCGGGTCAATTTGGGATCGAGCCTCGTCCCCGTTGTCGGTGACAATGCTGGCATGCTTCGCAAACATGAGCTCCTGATTTCATCTTATGAGGTAGTTGCGGTCATTACATGCTGCGACGGATTTTGAGAGCATCCTGAGGGACCCCTCACTGCTGACTCTTGGGGTATAAGCAGTTTGGGCGATTGAAGCCGTTGTTTCCGGACTCATGCCTCATCCTCGTCAGAGTCAGCAGGGCCTCCCATCAAAGATTGCTGGAAATGCAGACCACCACATACAGCACATCGGCCGCTTTTACAAGTCCAGAACGCGATAGAAGACGCCTACTCACTGCAGAAATATTGATCCTTTCCAACGCCATCCAGGTGGTGAGTTCTATTTGTTCCTCCTGCAACTACTCCAATGCCCGACCTTTCATCAGCCGGCCATTGCTGTTCCGACGACCACTGCGAGCCTCGACCGGCACCGGGTTTACATAAGGCTTCTTGTCATGTCAAGCTCTACAAAGCTTCGGGCTCAGTACAGAAAGTTTTGTATGGTAACGTTGTTCCATCGTTATGTTGCAGAACGCGCGGCTTCAAGGCATTACCAAGGTGAACAAATTCGCCATGGCACAGGGGCAAGGATGGTCTCAAGCATTTACGGATTTTGACGAGAACGTGTTGTCACTGCTGCATCAAAAGACTTGCGCACACCGGGGATGAAAGCTTCGAAGCGAGAGGCAGGATGTGAAATTGCTATGGAGCCTGGTATGTCCAATCACAGCCGCACCGGCTCGACTGCAGTTGGTTGCGCACTCAGTTTCATGCTCGCGGGTCTTCTCCGCCCTGCTGCTCCAACAACAATTGCTATGGCTTGTGTGGGTGTGTTGCGGATGCTGATGCGCTCGACACACTTGAAGCAAAACTACCCACAGGTGCATGCTGTACGCCAGCTGGCGGCCCCGGCAAAAGAATCAGCAGTATCAGAAGGCGTCCACTTCTCTGGCCGGAAGCGCTCCCAGCCATCCCTAAACCGGCGTTCGGTAATCTAGCCCCGGAAACGCAGCCAAATTTGACATTTTGGGGCTCCCCCTTCCCCACGCCCAGTTAGGACAGATCAGCATAGCTGGGCGCAAGACGAAAGAAGCTCCAAAGGAAGCTTTCGTAATTAATTAGCTAGCTGGCTTGCAGATCCAGTAATTACATTGAATCATGCAATCAATCAAAGCGTTGCCGTTAAGCACTTGCTGCGCAGCCATCATCATGCAGCAGCAGAAGAAGAGACACCGTCCATTCTCACCCTAATGGAGAACATTCATGCTCTACAGGCGTCCACGCAACCTCACGCAGACCGAACCTCTCTGAGGCGTTCACTCCGCTCACCTGCAGATGCTGCATGACACCCGCAGCGGGCCGCTGTGGTGGGGCTGCATGCCAGCCCTGGCAAGGGCAGGTGCAGCTGGCATTGAAAGGTGGAGGGCAGGTCGGCAGACCCCAGGCCTCGTCGCCCATGTCTGTGAGTATGCTAGGATAATGGCTCATCATCATGGAATCCTGCCAAGATCCGCAGCTCTGTAGGGCGGATTTGAGCACAAATTTTGTGCTGTGACGTCAGAAGCTTGGCCTCCAGGTCCTCCTCGTCGCCTGGAGATGGAGCAGAATCTAGCGAATTCCATCACACATGGGACAATGGTAGAATTCTACAAGCTGCTTTGCTCTTTCGTTGCACCAATCTCCATCTGCTGGGCTTCTGCTGTTGCCTGTTGTGGTAAACTGGTAAACGGATGCTCAACCCGTTGCCCTGCCTCTGCCAAGCTTGATGCCACTGTTGCGACGGCCCTTGCAAACAGCCATTTGCCACTCCGCTTCTACTGACCATGACATTCGATCTGCATAGATTCTCGTATTCACAAACCCTTGCGAAACAGCATCTAGAAATCTGGGACTTTGAAAGCTAGATGACGCTGCATGATGTGCTGGCCCCTGAGCAGGCCTGCCAGTTTGAGACGTTCGGCATGGAGTGGAAGGGCTGCACGCCCTTGCAGACAGAAGCCAAAGGGGTCTTTCCCAAATGCTTGGAGACATCTTGGCCCACCTCCTCGTAGCTGAAGTCAGTCATCATGCTATTGAACTTCAGGGTGGCTGGGATCCCCTGCGGTCAACGCATGACGGCACAACCACATCATTGAGGACCAGCCCGCAACAAATGTGCCAGCGATTTCGCGAAACCAGAGCTGACCGAAGCAATCCACAGCTACCAGATACTCTGCCTTGGCGTGGGGATTGCCGCTTTTGAATCTTTTGGACAGAACCAATTCTAACAACAAAGCAGTGGCAGAGTAACAGCTAATAAAGAATTCGGAAGATGACTTCCAAGAAATTCGTTCTGCTTCTGTGACCCCATGCTTTAAGCACTGGCCATGTCCTCATCCTCCTCCAAGCCGCCCCGTGTGCCCGTGCTTCGGGCCTTAGCTGTATACAGCTTGGCCAGGGCAGCCGAGTTTGCATCTGCTGAAAATGTTTTCTGGACCTCGTGATCTGTGTAGCGCAGGCAACGGCAACTGGCTGCGGCCCCGGGGCACTCAGGGGAATCCTCATGTGAGCCGCAGAAAAAATGCCCTGCACAGGATGCGCCGCGTGAGCAGAGCCAGCGACACTTTAAGATCTAATCAGCAACAACGAAATAGTCCTGAAGATCCAAGGTTTCCCTGCTCACATCTTCTTGGCAGAGTTAACAAAAGAGGCAGCGCCTCGTCTCTAAACTCGTTTGCCCGTCCAGTCTTGCTGACATCCTGTTCCACGGCACTCTCACACTGGACAGAATGTGAGAGCCGGCTGGCCTGGCTACCGGGAGACTCCAAACAGTCGCCATCCTTGCGGAGTCAGATGTCTGGCGGAGTCTAGCGGCTTGCTCGCCATGTTTTGCAGCCGTGAACCTACCAGTCCAATTCCCAAATTGAGGGAACGGCCTGCGGTGAGGCGGTAGTCGGACTGACCGTAGGCACATCCTGTCAAAGTATGATGCAATCAATGAGTTTTGCTGTCGCACCAATGTAGGGAGACACCGGTGCCTCACTGATCGCGTGCATACTCTTGGTGCTGCGAGAGCTCAGCGTTTTGCCCACGGGTAAATGATCACTGGCCTGCAGTGACTCTCAGCATAATTTCGACTGGTTTCAGATGTGCTTGCCAGGAGCACACTATTGCTGAATTTCTATTTGATCATAAAAAACGAAAGAGTGCGGCCGACGAGCCACGACTTGGGGCAGCGCTAGCAAACGCAGGTTGCTCAATGGATTTGCCTCATTTGAGGACCTGGGCTTCAGATCACGGGCCATCCCATGAAGCACAAGGAGTCCAATGTTGCACGTAGCTCCAGACGTATGGTAGCACATCTGTGTGTATCAGTTGCGCGATGGAAGAGCAACACCTTTTTTCAAACCACGTCTGCCTCACACTGCCGCGCTACTAGCACCTCAGATGCTCTGGTTTGCAGAGTGCACCAGAGCATGAAAACTCTCCAACAAAGCCATGTGCAGAATGCAGAGTCAAGCAGACTGTCCATCTACTTGCCTCTGTGCACTTGAGCAAGCATAATCTGAGGCAAGCCTCGGTCTCCTGATGAAGGCCATGGTACGGTGGCGTTCCCCCCGTCTCGGACCGGTACATCGCATGCAGAGTGCGGAACTCTCGCCGGCCGGACTGAAACCCACGCACTACCTGTGGCAAAGCAGGGGCAAAGAGCTCGGAGTAACGCCGGAGTCCAAATTTCAAGCTTAACCCAAGGAATGTGTGAGCAGCTGCTTCAACAGGAAATGGCTGCTTACAATCTCACTTTGACTCAGCAGGGAACCCCAAGCCTTGATGTGCTCGTCGTCATCATGAAGGAAGCGCTGCCAACGCTTCGCCTCCTGCAGCGCTTCCTCGCTGCAGGCCTCACTGGGCAGATCCTCGAAGTTCTCCTCAAGGCTGCAGGACAGCAGTTAGATCATGCAACATCTTGAACACCGACGTGTGTCGATGGTGAAGAATACCGTTTGCTTGAATCGGCGGGAAAGTTCAAGAAAGATTTGGACAATTTGCCTGCAGCAGCCCGGCAAAGAAGCGGCGGTCTTCCGCCTGCATTGCCAGGTCCTGACGTGCAAGTCCGCGAAACCGGAACACATGGGAGGCATTCGATTTGTGTCAGTTCACCTCGGGCCTGTAAAATGGCAACCAACCATTCCCTGGTGCCAACAAGGCCTCCTACTTGTAGCGTCCTCGCTCTATCAGCGGAACACGCAACGGCAGGTGTATCAACAGCCAGTCCTCGCGCGTGGACTCCTCGTTCACTTCACCTATTGCCCACAGCCCGCTCAGAGCTCCTTGAGAAAGGTAGCCAGTCAAGCTCCTTCACAAGCTTTCATTTTCTGGCTCCATCACAGTTTCCTGGCAGCACCCTGCCATGAATTCGCAACCCGTGCTTCCCGCAGCCTTGGTAGCGCCGTGAACTCTGGCACAAGGAGCGGAGTGTGCACCTCAAACACAATCCCACATCTGAACCACGCTGCGAAAACTGAACCTGTCTCAAAAAGGAATGACTACAGTGATGCCCATGGCCCAGGCCCCAATCCTCAGATTTGGGCTAATGCCAATGCAGGCTTCAGGGCGCCGATTCCAGGTTCATCGCCGCGGCACGATTCGTATTGCCAGATCTCGGAGTACTCCAGTTGTCAGCTGCGCAGCACCACCTTTTATCCACTGCGTATGCAGGTCGGGCTTTGCGGGTTCATACTGCCATGACTTCGCTTTGAATCGCAATCCAATATCCACATAGGCGTTGCTTGTGAGCCTTGTTTCGAACGACCTACTGCCAGCTGGGTCTGGCTTGAAACATCCACGGCTTTGCTGTATCAAGCACGAGGTATGACAAGGTTTTCGTGGTTGACGCCGTGCGCGCCAGTGACTGGCCGCAGGCATGTAAGCTCGTGAGACAGCTTTTTCTCCGAGAGGGGCTAGAGCGATAAGAGTTGGCGAGACGTGGGAATCATGAGCAATGTGCATGTTGCAAGTGGCCTGCTGGCAGATCTCCGCCATTGGCTTCTAGCAGCCCTGCAAAACACGCCCCTCTTGCCCAAAAAGATACCTGCGGCTTGACATCAAACCTGGCCCCAGACAACATTTCCCTGTACCAGTCATATCGAGCACGCAAACGCGAGACGGACGCAGCACGCCACGTGCTCTATCTGGACCGTGCGTGACTGGCGTGCTCAGTGCAGGCCGGCAGGTGTCAAAGCTTATGATGCCTAGGGCAGAGAATAAAACGGCTCAGCTGAGAAATTGATGGCGATCCCATCGGCCTGGTGCACTTGCGAGAGCCTGTAGAGCCTCTGGGCTGAGCACGAGCCCCGGCCGCAGGTCCAGTGCCTAAAACACAAGACCCGCATTCACACCTTGCAACAAGTGTTTAGCAATGCTAGTGCTGGCCACACATCTTGGAAGCTGGCATCTTCATGGAGGAAGGCAAAAGCAGTGCCTGACTTGGCCCGTGCATGCTAGACACCGTCTCTGGATGACATCATGATCCAACATAATCCAACCCTGAGATACGAAGCTGGCTGCAAATGTGACCAAGGAGCTGCCCAGAATCAGACCTGACCGCCGCAGTTCCTCACTGTCTGCATCCACTGCACAAGGGCAAGACACATGGAGCACCAATAGACATACAACAGTCATTCGAGTCCTGCCCTTACCTGATACAGACTCAAAAGCTGCTAAAGTAGGATCCAACACCCAGCCTGCCTCCAAGAAAAAGCCCAAAGCAGGGCGATGTAACCAGGCACCGCTGGGATGTAGAAAGGTCCAGGAGCTCTTGGGGCGTGCCTGCCGCAGTGAGCACAGCCGCTTCTGGCAGCCAATAGCTGTCGTGCATCAGTAGCAAAATCACGCTGATGCAGGCAGTGGACTTGCAAGGTTGGAACACCTTAGGGAAAGGGCTCATTCTTCCGCAGAAGGCCTTCCTTACTGAAAACTCCTCAAAGCTGAGTTCATCGATGTCATCGTAGCGATAGGGCCAGCGGTCCTCCGATTCCCACCGCGCAAGGCAGAAAAAAAGCAGATCATCCTCAAGGAATTGCCTCAAAGTAGGCATCGATGCTTTCGGGCCCCAAGCGGCTGCCGGAGGCGGCTGGCCGCTGTGACTCTGGAGCTTCCTTAGATCACTACGTGTCTCTGCTTCGGCACGGATCCTCAACAGCGTCACTCAACATGTCTGTATTCGCGTGAGGCCTGGCATATGGCATTTTAAGAATCTCTATTGTCGGCTGTACACGCCCCTGAGACCCTCAGAAAAGCTTTGCACACTGGGTCAAGGCTGTCAGGCCTTCACAAGTTGTTCTCACAAAGCCAAGCCAAAGGAAAGATCAGAAGAACATGTATTTCTTATTCTAATGAAGCGTAGGTCGGGTCCCTTTCGTCTGCAGTCAAAATCATCATTCCAAGTTGCAGCTCGCGGCTGGCAAAACCTGATCCTGCAATGGGAAACCCACCTAGATTGTGCGCCCTCAAGCCTGTGGATAGGCACATAGCAAACTCTAGAGCCCCAGGATCAAACTTCTTCGCTGCAGAAGGTCCTTTCAACCAGCTGTTGCAAAGTCCAATTGCGTGTCGACGGCAAATTACCTCAGCCACAAGACTCTTGAGGTTTCAAGGTGCAGACTGCACACCTTGGAGTTTCCCAAACGGCATCCCCTCTCGTCAAAAGACCAGCTTGGCTTGGCCTTCAAACTTCTGTGCGCTCTTCAGTGAGTGAGGCCGGAGGCCTGGGGCATTTAGATCTAAGGAGCCCATGTTCAGGGATGTGTTCCCACCCTCGTAGTCCCCCTCGAGGAAGCACCACCCTGAAGTTTGACAACGAGGCCGCCGAGGCAGCACTCGTGCTGGCGATCGAATCAGGGTATCCGGGACCAAAGCCCAAGGCAATACAAACTTGAAGTCTTTAAGCGTTGCCAATGAAACAATTGAGGTCATCCTCATGCACTCCCTCAACCCATCTGTCGACTGCAGACGAGAGGCAGGAAAAGCTAGGGAAGTCATCCTGGCATGACTTACCATACTGCAAAAGAAATGTTTGGGGGTGTAGGTTGGCGTGGTAGTGAAGAAGCAGGTGTAAGTCGGACCTCGCTTTTGGGCTTCCAAGCCAGGACGTTGCCTGTGCTCCTTTTTGGTAACCCGAAAAGCCCAACTCTGCGAGTGGCCCTCGAGTGTGCGCCTCGAACGGATGGGGTTCTGCCAGTTCTGCCTGGCGGCCCAGTGACGACTCGGCCAGGCCTCCTGTGCAATCTGCAACGTGGGGCATCTGAGGGAAGTGGATCAATGCACCGCACATCGCAGCGCTTGTAGAAACCATGAAATTTCTCTTGCCGTCGTCGCACCCAAGCCATGCCGTCTTGCATAAACTTTTGGAAACTGAACACATGAATCCAATCTGGCCTGCAGAAATCCAGTGATGACCCAGCAGATCGGCCTTGTCAAATGTTTGTGTCGGGCAGAAAAACTTCACGCCTCATTTCGCTCGTAAACTACAAGGATGTTAAGGATGTTGGATGCGTCCTACTGCACAGCGCCGTCCTGCTTCTGCTGTTGATGCTGCTGGCCTCTCCTGCTACGTGAGCTTTAGATCTGTCTGGAAGCTTACTTCAAAGCATCCGTACTAGGAGCAAAGTGTGTGCAGAACAGCAAACAAAAAGAAGAACCTTTCCGACAATGCATAGCAAGCTGAGTCTGGCCAAGAAAAGCGGCTTGTGACTGAAGATAAACCATTATGAATCCTTGGACCTGCTGAGGAAAATGGGCGCGTGATGGACTCACGCTCAATCATACATCTGATTTAACAGCTTGCTCTCTGTCTGTGAAGTTAGGCTTCGAAGGGCCAGAGTCAGACGGAACTGAGAGGAACCCTGTTCAGTCAAGCTGCGGTCATGCTACGATCCTGGCTGCCCATTGTACCTGAAGTCCACAGAATCTCATTGGAGATCTAAAATGTCGCGGCAAGCTTTATGAAGACCATCAATGCAATAAATGCAGATTGGCTGCTTGTGTGGCAGTGCATTGCTGGAACATGAACCATGGGCACGGCTGTGAAGAGCGCGCAGTAGGCCAGGGAGATCTCGCTGGATCCCGTGTAGGGACAAGTCCTCCGAAGGCCCACAACTAAACTTCCATATATTCCCAAGAAAGAAACGGCGCCCTAAGCCCAGATCTCAGTCTTGCAGGAGGCGTGCGGCGCCAGCTGCTCAAAGGCCAGTCGGCTCAGGATTGCCGCACCCGAGCTGAGACACGGCCGGTCGAAGTCGTAGACCTCTGAAAAGGAAAGGATTTGGCTTCCCGGAAAGCTAAGACTTCCAGGTTTTACAACCTTACCTTACCTGAGCTTGCATGAACCGGATAACCCATCTACTACCTTGAGATGCACCTGGGCGATTCTGGCTACTGTCCTTGCAGCTGCAGTTGTGCCGTCAGGACTCTCTGTAACCAGCTCTTGGTCTGACGAAGTGTTGTGCTTTTGAAGTACCGAGAGCTGAAATGGATAGAGGCAGGGCCTCTGTGTCAGACAGCACCTTGGCAGAGGTTGCTATCATGCTCAAATTCCAGGGCACAGGTAGCGATGATCGTACTTTACATAATTAGTGGTAGTTGTCCTGCTCCGAATGCAATGGTGTTAGCAGCGGCGGGGCGCCGGCAGTGGCAATGCTTGTGGTGTCGCGGCTATAGCAGTAGAGGATAGGATTGCCTGTTTCGCATCGGCCATGTGGACGGCGGACGGCAGTTGGGAACACGGTCGCGGTGCTTTCTTGCGTAACTTGCTAGCATGGTGTCGAAATATGTCGAAATAATTCAGATGCCAAAGCTTGGCGCACATCTGACGTCAGTATTGGCATTGATTCAAGATGCGGCTAGAAGGTAGAATGTCCCACGCAAGGTGAGCATGTCTTGCAGACGAACGGCATGGGTAAACATCACCGCATGATCATCCTTGGAGGAATGGCCGGCCAGGAAGTAGAAGAGCCGAGCCAGATTGACATAAACGTCATCTTCCAGCAAAACGATCCAGCGTGTGTCTGGCGGAATGCCACCAGGGTGCTGAA